ATATTTATATATATATTTATATAATCATAATTATGAAAGTGGTCTAAAAAGGAAAAATGATCGAAAAAAATTTCTTTTTTATTGTTTTTTAAGGCTACTTTTATTTTTTTTTTAATAGCACCTAATATTTTCAACTTAACAATACACTTTGTACAAGTTAACATTCAATTGCGATTTGCTCCCCCCCATGAATATACTTTTAATATTCTTTATATTTATTGCTATTATTCCAAGTATAAAAAATATATATTGAAAACATTTGAAACAATCGAAAGATACTTAACATTTATATTCGTCTCATTTAATTTTATATCATTGGCCCACAAAAAAAAAAAACAAAAAAAATAAAACTAATAAGTAACAAAACCAAGGATTTCTCAATGACTCGAAAAAAAGTAATTAAAAGCTAGGAGAGTCGTTCGAGAGAGTTTGTTAGAAACTTCAAATGAAATAAAAAATAAAAAAGGTATCCTTAGTTCTCTTATTCTTTTTCTCTCTTTTTTTATTTTATTTCAGTTAGAAGTAAGGCAATTAAATGCTATTTCCGTAGACTTTAATTCGACCATATTCCTGAGAGACAGAAAAAAAAAGAGAGAGAGAGAGAGAGAGAGACTATACGTTTCCGATTGCAAATGAAAAATGATTACAAATGTTGGATAATATATGACGAGCCTACACCCAAATGTGTCACTTCCAAACTTTTCGGATAAAATGCATGAAACTTGCGAACGTAGTAGGGAAGGGAGGGCATTTACACCACGAGCTTCGATTTAAATCGTATTTATTAAAGCTCTAGAAAGAGCTTTAAACCTGGGTCAAGAGAAGAAGAAGAAGAAGAAGAAGAAGACGGTTTGCAATCTAAATATTTGTCTTTCCTTGCCCGTTCCAACAAGAAGTAAAATATATTTAAGTATGTGTTCACAACGTCTTCTACTTTTCTTTTCTTTTTTATTATTTGCTAACAGAGAAAGAGAGAAAGTAAAAGTAATGAAGATTTTTTATTCGACTTTTCGAAAGCTTTTAGGAAGTTAGAAACGTGTGGTGAAGGTTATTGATCGTCTACCGGTTCCTCGATAATAGGAACGAAAGAGATAGAACGAGAGAGAGAGGGGGTGGGTGGGGTGGGAAAGAGGTTTTCGGAGATGATGAATGCACTTTGAGATTTCATACAAGCATGAGACGGCAGGGTGCACAACTTCCGGCTCGTACTAAAGTATTCTTCCCCACGTATCATGTTAGGGTTCTCAAGAGTCAGACCACCCCCATTATATATAATACGAACCGACACTTTTACCCAAGTATGTTTCAACGTTACGATCCTATCATGACGATATGATTAACTTGGTAAAACGATAAAACGTGTTCTAGGATATACATTTATCTATTTTTCTATTTCTTTTTCTTTTTCTAATTCGATCTTTTCATCAAACAAATTCGAATTATCTTTATTGATTAAGTTCATTAGTATAAGTTCGTAAATCTAACGTATAAGTAACTTAAAAACTTGTTTAAAAAAAGAATAACAATTATTAAAAAAATTTCATTCACGCGTGTTGTAGTGTAATAGAAAAATTTGTAAAAACAATTATTAACTACAATATATTATATAATGACAGATTTTATATTTAATATATATTTTTTATTTTATTATTTGATTTTATTTTATTTTATTTTTAATAATAATATATATATACATATATACATATATTGATCGATCAACGGCCGTGGCGCGATGACAGCACGAGTTCCCGCTTCGATCATTTAAGTCAAGCAACGCTGGACACGATTAATACTTGGATGGGTGACCACTTTTGGGAACCACCGTGTACTGTTGACTTCAAAATTCCGTCTAGTTTTAAAAAAATACCTAGCTGGTTCCCAAAATTCAGACAAAAGGAGAGAAGGGTTCAAGGGTGAAGCTAGCAACCTACCTTCGGGTAAAAAATAATAAAAAAGCTCCTAGAAAAATTAGTAATAGAGCTTTGGATTGGAAGAATTATAACTATGACACGACAACAAAAAAGAGGAAAACACGCAAAGGAAAAACCTCAAAAAAGGTGGCATTAAAAGCTTTGGGACATCACAAGATCAACAAAAATTCCCCTAAAAAAGTGAGCTTTATTACTAAAATTATAATTTGTTAGGACGAAGTCCTAACAAAATAAGAAGGATATTATAATAAAATTAATATTGAAATAATATTAACCGTTAATAGAATAAAACACGAATGGGGAGGGTTCTCTAAAGCATTTGCGAAATTAAACAGACCGTTCGATATTAACCTCGTAAGCCAGCTGCATCTTGAGAATCGAACTCGATCAGAATTACGGAATTCGAGAAATCCACTTGGGTTCTCTGTCTCTCGTTTATATTCCTCGGTTGTGTAGGTGATTCCCCCTCCCTCACAATGAGGGATGAAAATCCACGTGCATGAGAGGGATAGACAGATAGATAATCAGAGTGAGAGAGAGAGAAATAAAGCAAGGCCACCAACAGTAGTGGGGTCGTAGGAATTAATAGGTGGAATAGCTCTCCATTGTTTGACCGGTCGACCTCTTCTCGTTACCTTCTTCCACCCCTTCCCTTAAACCCTTTCCTCCTATCTAAACCCTTCTACCACCACCCTTTTAGCCTTCTTCTCCATTTTGTGAATCGTGAAATGAAAAGAATCATCCGGAATTCAGCGTGCTGCTTCTTCTCCTTTTCTAATTGTTATAAGTCAGAAATCATACCGATCTTTATTTCAAACCGGCCCCTCCCTCCATTTTTCTTTCAAAAAATAAGAAAGAAGAAGAATTATTATTATTATTATTATTATTCTATCATTCGAACATTTTTTTTTTTTGTAGAAAAGATAGATAGATAATTTTCTTCAACTGTAACGACGAATAATAGTAATTGGAAAGATTTCATTTTATGAGAGAACACAAGAATTTTATCTCTTTGTTTTTCCACTCCACCCCCTCCCCTAATTTCATTCACGAAAAAATAATAATCGTTCGTAATAGGATGATCCTTCGAATCGACGTTTTCGTAGATTAAAACGAAGAGAATTTTATCCGTTCGAGAGGAAACATTTGAATCATTTTAATAATAAATATAACAAATGAACACGTTTATTGAATCGTTCGATTGTTAACAATTAAAATTAATCGAATCTCATACACACATTTTTATAAATTAAAATTAAAAAATGCCGATTGGTTTAAAATATTAACTAATGTTCTTTGATATATTGTATTATATATAGTTTTGAAAAAAAAAACGAAATTATTATTCGAACAATCAAATATACATATATACTTGTCATTTTAAATGACGTATACATACACACATACACACTTTCACTCTCTCTCTCTCCATCTTTCTCTTTATGAAACGAAGGGAATGAGAAAACCTACGAAGAATGATGAACAGTGTTTGTCTAGGGTGTGACCATTCGACAATTAGGGAGTGCCCAAGTAAACACTCGTTGTCAGTGTCAGCCTTCGACATAGTACATCGTCTTCTTAAAACCAAGAGGGCTAATCGTGTCCTCACACATACATACATACATACATATACATATATCCAATTGAACAACCCCTACAACTTTGAGGTACTCGTAATCTTCCTTCCCTCTTTTTTCTTCCTCTTACAAATGCTCTCTTACTTGTTACATGTTTTACCCTTTTATTTTTTCCACCCTTAGATCCTTTTTCTTAATCTCAAGCCCGTAATTCATTTCTTTCATTTTTCATTTTATTATTCTTCCTTTTCTCGTTCTTTAAATATTAAAAATAAAAAAAAAAAACATCTCTTCGAACGTATCCTAATTGACAAAGTTTCTTTTATTGTATTCCTTCTTCTTCTCACACAGAGTAATTTTTTCTCGATAAATTCTCGCGTTAAATCTATAAAATATAATTGAATATATTCGTTATCGACGAGTCTGAAATATAATTGCTAAAGAAACAAAAAGAAAACACGAGAAAAAATTGGCTTAATATTTTCATTTTTTTTTTTAGAATTTCGTGAAAAGAATATAGAAATCCTACCCACCCCCCATCCTCCGCCTTATCCCACCCCACCCCGATAATTATTTGGCTCTATAAATATCGAACTTGAAATCCTTTGAAAATCACGAGAAGCTTTTCTTAACAATGCTCTTTTATAAATCGAGAACGTTTGCAACAAGAACCTCTTTGAAATATTTCCATGTTATCACGAAAAGTACGGGGGGTTGTTTCAGTAGCTTTTTTTCTTCTTCTCTACTTCCATTATTTCTAAAAGAGAGAAAGAGAATGATGAGAGAGAGAGAGAGAGAGAGAGGATAATTCTTCAAGAAATGTTCTTTACACACGAAACTTCAATCATCGATAACAAATAATAATCGTGAGTTAAAAATTATTACATAAATATTAATAATAATTAGAGCTTTCCATTTCTTTTAACCATTCTCGCAGGGAAAATAATTGTAAGAATTTAAATAGTCTAATATCAACTTTTTGCCCATTTAAACACCCGTCCAACTACCCCCTTAACCACCCCAAGCCTTTTCTGTTCCCATTGTACATAACTGCAATTTTATCCTGGTCGCGTATTTTACGTGTAATATAAATATTTTTTCTTTTATTTCTTTCTCTCTTTCTCTCACACACACATATATATATTCTCTTTTTTTTTATTGCACCGGTATGTACGCTATCTTCCTTATTTTTCATTACACACATCCACAATTATTCATAACTCGTATTTATTTTTTCTTCTTCTTTTTCACTATTTTCTGTCGTCTACATTTGTCATTCTTTTTTTTATTTTTTTGGTCACGAAAATTATTCGTCTAATTTTTTATCTTATATCTTCGTTTCGATTAGAATAAATCAATTTTTAAAACCGTGTACCCCCACTACGTTGTTACATGTATGAAATGAAAAAAAGAAAAAATAAAATTCGAACGATTACATTCCATGACATAATTCGAGATGATGATATTAATAATAATAATTAAAAAAAAAAGAATTCCTATCTATCGTATAAAATTGTATAAACCAATGGAATTGCGAGTTCCATGTTCGATTGACATTTACGATGTACTAAAAGATGAAAGCATATCCCAAGGAAATTCGAAAACTTCTAAGACCTTAAATAGATTTTACGGTGTTACTTCTTCGAATATATATATATATATGTTTCGTAATGTAAAGTTTCGAATATTAAAAAATACGAATGATACAAATCGACCTTTTTTTTTAAAAGATAAATAATAAAAAAAGGGAATGAAACCTGAGAGAAAGTAAAAAAAAAAAAAAAAAAAGAAAAAAGTGTCGGCAGAATTGACGAGTGAACTTTTCGGATGTTAAGAAAAATATCTGGAAAAAGAAAAAAAAAATAGAAGAGGGAGAGAAATCTTTCTCGAGACGACGAAAAGTTTAGAAAATACTTTCTTTCCTCTTCTTCATTTTTAGGATTATCTTCATCTAACACAGCCCTTCTAGATCGTTTCCTTTCTTAGTGAAGAAGAGTCACCTCATCTGACACTTTACGATGTAATAAAAGTAAAAGCTTTGTCAGCTATCATGTATACAGACACCTCTATAGATACACTGATACATACACACATACATATATATAAATATATAGATACATCATCTAATATATATCAGAAAAAGCTTTGGAAATCTTTTGCCCCGCTTGTAAACACAAATTGCTTTTTTCTTTTTTTTTATTTATTCTTATTTATTTTTTGTCGTTCAATTTTTTTCCAACGGGTGTATAATATTGTGAAAAAAATAAATTCGTAAAAATGTTGACACGTGTATACACTACTTCCTCCTAAACAGTTGACAATAGTTTTTTTTTTAAGCTAAGACTTTAAAAATCAGAGACAACACCATGATGCATCGAGTTGCTGCACTTTATTTTAATGTCAAAGTAGAAAAACAAAAGAAAAAACAAATTTTAATTCTCGTAATAATATATTAAATGAAGTTTTTATTGTAACAAATAAAATATATTATTAGTAGTTTGATTCGATCACATCATTTATCAACTTTCAAATGAAATCATTAACTTGTCATGTTTGTTTAATCGAATTTGTTTTTTAAATGATCGATCACTTTAATTAATAAAGTATTCGATTCGATTAATATTATGAAAATTATACGATAATTTAAATCGTCTATTATACCATTCGAAAATACAAAGAAACATTAAACCATTCAATATATTATAAGAAATAAATTCGTATTAATATTAAATGCATAAAATTCTTAAGAAATAATCAATCTGTTATCATACACGACGAATTAATGAAATTCCCATGACGAATGTAGAACGTAGACTAATTAAATTGCAATACAAAAAAAAAAAACAAATATATATGACAGTACTTTCCTATTACTAACGATAAATTATAAATACTCACATGGATTTTCCTATCATAATATCATTTCATTTAAACGTTCTTGATAAGTATCTATATATACATAAATATAACAAATATATATATATATATATATATATATGTGTGTGTATATATTCTATACATGAATAGTAGCGTGAAACAACTGACGTATAAATACAGAATAATTAATTAATTTCGTAGGAACGTGTCGTGGTAATTAATATCATGCTGACAACATTTCCAATGTCGTGTATCCACCTTCTACACATATACAAGATTCAGATATATACATACATACACACTGACAGATAGCTATGATTATACTTTACATTGATACGAAAAAACATTTTCTTTTATGTTCGATTTATTGATATATCGATTAATCGATACGATTTTCCATGTGTTTTGTCATTTGTTCGATAATTTTTAGAAAAATTATAATAGAAAAAGAAAACAAAAAAATAGAAAAAGAGAGAGAGAGAGAGAGAGAGAGAAGGAAAATAGTGATTTTAAAAAGAGATGATAAAATGAATGAACCCCATAGATCTCGATTTATTCACGAGTTTTCTCGTGAAATTGAATCGACATCGTAACATCGTTATACTAAACTAACGATTACCTATTTCGTTACATCGAACAAGCCTCGAAAGCTGTTTGTACGTTCGTTGCTTGCATTTAAACGAATCAAAAGCTTCCTCGACCTCTTCCTCTTCTTCATCCCCATCCCCATCCCCATCCCAATCCTTCTCTTTCTTTGACCCTTTATTTTATTCCCAGTTTAACCTGCGCGAGTAATTCCGGTTGTTGGTTGAAATATTAGAAGAAACGTAAAGTTTCTTTTTTTTTTGGTTTTTTTTTTTTTATATTTAACAACAGACGAGAAAAGTTCTATCGGAAAATTTGTTGGGGATTGAAAAAAGGATCGTTCAAATCTGAGATATGAAATATCGGATTGTGAAACATCTCGTTAATACTTAATTGAATATGGTTTTTTTTTTTTTTTTTTTTCAATTTTTATTCGAATTTTTTTTCCATAAGTAATTTGAAAATTTTTCATTAACACAATAATGCAAGTTAGTTGCAATAAGAAAGAAAATATTTAAAATAAATTATTATTCGAATAAATCATTCATATTAGAGTTGTAGAAAGAAATAAAAATGTTATGCATTTATTCATTTTTTTTTATCTTCGAAAGGGAATAATTAATCGATGGGTTTCTCTCTCTCTCTCTCTCTCTCTTTTTTAGGAGGATTTTTTTTTGGTTGTCGTATGCTTCAAACGTAATTTCAATGTTTCTAGTGAATTATTTATATCGTCTACTTAAAAAATAACTATAATATATTCGTCTTTGAGTTAGAGAGTTAAAAGTATTGAATTAATTTTAAGTAGAAACTGTTAACTGGTTTTAACACGAGCGCTAACTTTTCTCCCTTTAACACCCCGTTAACTACTCCTAACAAACTTATTCGAATGTTTTATCAAATATGTGCATTTAATTATAATATACGTTATAACCAAAAAGTAGTCATTCCTAATTAACGAACGAAGAATATACGAGAATATTTTTAACACTTTTTTTCTTTTTTTTTTTTTGCATCAATTGTTCATTTATTTTTCATGTTAAAATTCAGAAGTCAAATGACAATCTTATTTTTTTAACGTCATCTAGTAGTAGTATATTTATTAATTTTTATTTATAAAATAAAATCAAGATAATATAACATTTGTATATCGATTTTTTATTATTCAATTTTGTTCATAATTCAACTCTAGTACACATAATAATAATAATATTTTATAGAAAATAAAAATGGAAATTATAAAATACAAATGAAGATTATAAAATGTTAGAAGAAAAAAAACAAAAAGAAATAAAACATTTTGACGAAATTGTTGTTGTTGGTGTTGTTGAATTCGATATAAAAATATAGAAACAAAAGTAGACGAAAAAAAATATGGAAAAAAATATAAATTGAGAAACGAACCTTAACTTTCTTATCAGCGTCAGGTCTCTCGAGTAGACTTGTAGTCTGTTCTAGGGGTGACAAAGGGGGTGCCTCAGGATCGAAGTTGACGTGTTGTTGGCCTGCACTCCTGAGGAAGCCAACTCCAGTGGCAGATAATTGAGTCCTTGACGTGTTAGTCGCCATTCTTAGTGGGAATATTGTACAAGTGTTAGGGTTCCCATCAGTACCTTCTTCATCGAATTCGTTTTCACCAGGGGTCCTTCCGCCCCTGGCGATATGCTCCTCATCTTCGCACGCGCTTTCTACAACAATAAACAAAAAGAAAAAACCAGAACAAAATCTATAAATTAAAGATAAACCAATACATCTGTCAAAATAATTTATTTCATATTTTTTCTAAATATCTTATAATAGGAAATAGGATTGCATTTGTCATTTTTTCTCTTAAGAAATATTTTAATAAATGATTTTATATTTATTTATAACTTTAATATATCATATTTTGTTTAACAAATTAATTAAAAATCTTTGTCTTTTGATCAGTAAAATAATCTTGCAATTGATCGATGCAATATTAATAAATAAATAAAATTAATAATGCTATGCATTTGTAACGATTA